AGTTTATATTTTAGCAAAAGTTTTAATTAAAACCAAGGAAAGGAGATGAGAGAAGCAACAGTATTCCTATTGGGAATACTCTAATTTTCAGCTGTTTGGAAGCACATAATGTCATTTCCTGGGCTGTTTTTGTTTGCTCTCTCTCTTTCATGGTCAGATGGCCAGTCTGACTCAAGACAGATTTTGGAGGAAACATTTGTTGTTGGTTTTTTGAGACAGGGTATCTTCTTGTAGCCCTGGCCAACCTGAAACTCACTCTGTAGATCAGGCTAGTTTCTAACTCAAAGATCCTCCTGCCTCTGCCTCTGCCTCTGCCTCTGCATCTGCCTCTGCCTCCAGAGTGCTGGAATTAAAGGCATTTGCCACTACAGTCCAGCTGGTTCCAGCTCAGGTCCTCAGGATGCTTACAAACTCCTAGCCTGGCTCTTTTCTAGGCTCTGGAGAATCCAGAAGGAAGCAGGAACTTCTCCTCACGGAGAAGGCAATAAAACAACCTAATAGCCACGTGCTGTATGTTAGAAGGCAATAAATGTTTCAGAGAACTAGTAAGCAGGAAGTGGGATAGAAAGGGGGGCTGGTGGCAGGTGGCTTGTGATTTAAAAGCGGGAGGTCAGGGAGGACCCAGCCTGGCTCCTCCCCAAGAGAGACGCTGTGCTTCAGGGTCTAGACAGGAAGATGCAAGTTTATTTTATTACTTGTGCTGGGGATGAATCAGCCTGCCTCCATTTTGGGCTTGTAAGACATCTTAATGTAAAGACAAGCTAAGATCATGTCTGTTTATGTTTAACCCTCTGTTTCTCAAGGATCAGGCTATGTCCACCCGTAACCTCAACTGTAAAAGGTTCTGTACTGCCTGTTCCAGGAAACAACAACCATGTCTTTGTTTCTTCAAATGCATTTATTTTACATCTCTACTGCAGTTTCCTCTCCCCCTTCTCCTCCCAGTCCCTGCTCCCCTCCCCCTCCCTCATCCATGTCTCTTTTTCGGATTATTGTTATGACCTTTGTTTTAAAAGGTCATTATAACCACTTGTTGTTATGACCACCTTATTACATTCTGCTCCTGTAACCCCCATCTATTTGCCCACCAGGTCCCCTCTTTGGAACCCCCCCACCTCTGAACTATAAAAGCCCCTATCTTTTCCATATCCAATGCTGACTTTTGAACCCCATCTTAGGGGGAGGCCCCCTGTGTACGTGTGCAAGAATAAGAAAGTTTGCTTTGATTAATTGTCTGCTTTAACTAATTTGGCCATGATGGTCTGGGTCAGTGGTCTTTCTCCTTGAATCTGGGATTAACACTGGGATGGATCATAGGGCCTCAAACACACCCAGCACAGGCCCAACCAAGGGCCTCATCCCAGCACAAGAGTGAAAACTTCTTTTTCTTTCTTTTTTCCTCCCTTTCTTTCTTTCTTTCTTTCTTTCTTTCTTTCTTTCTTTCTTTCTTTTTCTTTCTTTCTTTGAGGGTCTCACTGTTATAGCTCAGATTGGCCTCACACTCACTCTCTCCAGCCTGTGCTTTCTGAGAGATGAGATCACAAAAACAACGTGAAAGCACACCTGACCCCAGATGTGCATTGTATACACATTGTATCTTAACGTGTATACAATGGTGCAAGCCTCTAATCCCAACACTTAGGAAGTGGACATAGGAAGGTCAGGAGTTCAAGGCCAACCTCAGCCCCTCAGCTTCATAGTGAGTTCAAAGCCAGCCTGAACTGTATAAAACCTATCTAGAAAAAGAGCAGAGAAGAAAGAAACTGGAAACAGCAAGGCTATTAACCGGTTCTGCAGGTAGAGGGAGCCGAAAGCCAGAACATTTGCTGCAAAGGAAAAGGCCAAGGACAGATTTTAAGAAATAAGTAAATAGAAGATAAATTTATTTAATGTATGTGAGTACACTGTTGCTGTCTTCAGACACACCAGAAGAGGGCGTCGGATCCCACTACAGATGGCTGTGAGCCACCGTGTGGTTGCTGGGAATTGAACTCAGGACCTCTGGAAGTGCTCTTAACCACTGAGCCAACTCTCCAACCTTCAATTTTTTTTTTTTGTAAGATGTAAGAAAGAAAGAAAAGAAAGCAAAACCTTAATTGCTTTTTTGTTTATTTGTTTGTTATTTGATAGAGACGACATTGTCGTCAAGCTAACTATGTATCAGGCAATGGCTTTGAACCCCTGACCCTCAAGCTCCACATTGTAACTGCTGGCATTATAAACAGGCAATACCACTTCCTATTTGGCTTTTCTTTTTCTTTTTTTTTGGAAACAGGATCTCTCTTTGTAGCCCTACCTCTCCTGGAACTCACTATGTAGACCAGGCTGTCCCCAGACTCTCAGAGATCCACTTGTATCTGCCTCCCAAGCGCTGGGAATAATGGTGCAGACGCTATGCCCAGCCTTCGTTTCTTTTCCTTCACTTCTCTTGTCTTCTTTTCTTTTTCCTTCATACAGTCATGCTTGCCAATATTGCCTCAACTGGCCTTGAACTCCTACTTACCAGCGATTCTCCTGAATCAGGCCCCAGGGTGGCTGAGACTGCAGGCATGCTTCACAGTCATCCCTGCATTTTTAGATTCAACGATAAGTCTCGAATGTCATTCCTGTCTGTGGCTTTACATTTTTCTGTTAAAAGATATACTATATATCTTGTCTTTTCCCAAGTAGTGTTTGCCTTCTTAAAACTGGGGTCTGTTGTAGCCCAGTCTGGCCTTGAACTTTTGTGGGTCTTGCCTTATGCTCTCCAGTGTCTGGATTGTGCCCCATCATGCTCAGCGGCAGTGTCCTTTGAAACCACTTCTGTCCTTGGTTCTGCTCTCCCGGGCATTGTGTGGCACTGAAAACTTTATTGCCATGGCCACCAGCGCCCGATTCCTGGGCTGTGGCGTGGGAGCTCCATGTACCTCTGACTTGACCCTCCTTACACCCTGACGAGATCCCAGCTTGTCTCCTCCCTCGGTCTTTTATTCTCGGCAATCGCAATTCGGCCGCCCTTTTGTTCGTTCAAATAAGCCATATTTTCAAGCCCTGGCCATCCGCCAGCCGCTGATCTCGGCTCGGATGTTGTAGAGAGAAGCCATACAATGGTCCTCTGCTCCCAGGAGCTTGTAGACTGAGGCGCTTGTGTATTTTGTAAACCACCCCAACTCTCCACGGAGCAAGACAGAGAATTAGTAAAGGGGTCAGATATTTTTTTTTTAAAGCACTGCATAAACCATAAACCAAAACTTTGTGCCAACAAATTGTTGAGCTGAATATCACAAAAGAGGACTGAATTCTGAAACCCTGGGTTCCATAGCCCAGCCTGGCCCTCCTCCAGCTTCCAATCCAGTTAGTAGCTGAAGCCCTCAGGCTGTGGTTTGGCTGTTTCGGTCACTGAGGCTAAGCTGTCCATCTCAGTGCCTAAGACTTCCTCACACTGACCAGCTTTGCTGTCTCCTGCTGCCAGCCTGCGCCTCCTCCTTTCCACAAGGCCACTTAATAACCCTTCTCGATAGTCTTCCTGCCCCTCCAGCTACTTCAGATCCACCATCTACCCAGCTGATGTGTCACTCTGTGTCATTTCTAGGATTCCATTTCCAACACCCACATTCGATGTAACTCCAGTTCCTGGGATTAGAAGTTCTCTTCTGACACACACACACACACACACACACACACACACACACATATAGCCAGGCAAAACCACTTCATACACATAAAAATGTAAAACAAGTTACTTACTGATATTATGAAGTTGATAGCTAATTCTTACCTCTCATGTCAGTCCCCTGAAATACTTTGTTTCTAAGCAGTGGGAAGGGACATTATTGTCTATTATATGTGTTATGAGACTGGGTTTCTCTGTGTAGCCCTGTCTGGCTGTCCTGCAACTTGCTTTGTAGACCAGGCTGCCCTCAAACTCTGAGATCTGCCTGCTTCTACCTCCCAAGTGCTGGAATTAAAGGCATGCACCACCTGCACCACCATGCTAGGCTTTTTTTCTTTTTCTTTCTTTCTTTCTTTCTTTCTTTCTTTCTTTCTTTCTTTCTTTCTTTCTTTCTTTCTTTTTTTTTTTGGTTTTTCGAGACGGGGTTTCTCTGTGTAGCCCTGGCTGTCCTGGAACTCACTCTGTAGACCAGGCTAGCCTCGAACTCTCGAACTCAGAAATCCGCCTGCCTCTGCCTGCCAAGTGCTGGGATTAAAGGCGTGCGCCACCACCGCCCGGCTTTAAAAGACTCTTAAAAAAAAAAAAAAAAGGAAGTCTCTTGTACCCCAGGCTGGCCTTGAATTCACCATGTAGCTGATCTGAATGTCTAGTTTTTCTGTCTTTACCTCCCAAGTGCTGGAATTACAGGTGTGTTTGCCACCATGTCTGGCTGACCAAATTTTTGTGTGTGTTGGGGGGGGGGGGACACGCTAAAACAAGGTCTCATTTTGTAACTCAGGCTGGTCTTGAACTTGCAGTGATTATCCAGCCTCAATCTCCCTTGTTCTAGTATTACAAGCGTGAGACTGTTTGCACTCATCTGTTTAAGGACCGAATGTGCTGAGTTTTGGTGAGTATATCCATCAATTGCACCACTTAAAATTACTATCATCCAGAAAGCCCTGGTGACCCTTTTTTGCCCACTCTCTTGGGTACTTCTCTGGATTAAAGACTATTTTGAACGTGTTATATTTGTATTTTCAAAGGATCTCTCTGGCTGCTGTGCAAAAGAAAGACCATCAGACTTGAAGTGCAGACTAGTCGCCTAGCAACCAGACTCGCTCAGGGGTCGGGGGTTGGCTTGCTTCAGAACGAGGCCCCGCCCTCTCAGCGCTCTACCCCTCCCCTCTCCTCTCACTAGCGGGAGAGTGCAGGCGGCCCCACCCACCTTCCGGCCCCGCCCTCCCGGGAGCCACGCGTAGCTCCGCGACCCGCAGGGGCGGGAAGATGTTTCTTATTGGTCAGTTTTCCGGAAGCTGAGTTGATTTGGTTTGGCGAGAGTTGCTCTGGGACCTCGGAGCCGCTGGACGCGCGTGAATAGTGCGTGGCTTCCGCGCGTGGTGCGGAGAGGACGGGACAGGGGATCGGGGGACCGGCGCTCCTCCAAGGCTGGCAGGAGCGGGCCTCAGTTTCTTCCGCTAGAGGAGCGTGGCGTCCGCGAACGGGACCCCAGGCCCTCCCGCGCGGCTCGTCTGCAGGCTTGGCTTGTAAGAGGCTGGGAAGGGACGGAGGCGGTTCGGGTACCCCCACTCTCTTACGGCTCGCAGCCCCCCGTGCTTGACAGCCTCTCAGGTGTCCAGAGCCCCAGCGCAGGATGTTCGTGCTGGTGGAGATGGTGGACACCGTGCGCATACCCCCGTGGCAGTTTGAGCGGAAACTCAACGACTCCATTGCTGAGGAGCTGAACAAGAAATTGGCCAACAAGGTACTGGGCCCTCGGGCTCCGGGGCAGCGTCCGAATCGGTCCCGCTGCTAGCCTGACCTGGTTCAGCCTTGGCCTTACACACTTAACGTAGCTTCATGTCAGGGTCTCTTTCCTTCGATCCCTTATGAACCAGACTTGGGTGTCAGCGTGTACCCAAGGGAGTAAGTGGGCCAAGCGAGGTAGTGCACACCTGTAATCCCAGCTTCTTGGGTTGTTGAGGCTTGTGACGAGTTCGAGGCCAGTGTGGCAGCATAGTTAGCCCCTGTCTCAAATTAAAAAGCATCGGAAACTGCTGGTGGTAGCACACACCTTTAATCCCCATCACTTAGGAGGCAGAGGCAGCCGGATCTCTGTGCGTTCAAGGCCAGCCTGGTTTACAGAGGAAGCTCTAGAACAGTCAGGATTACAGGGGAAAACCCTGTCTCAAAAAACAAACAAAAAGCATTGGGGTGGTGAACAGTGCTTAAATTTGTTTGACATTTGCGGGGTCACTGGTTCGATTCTTAGTATTGGCCAGAAAACAAAAAAACGGAGAGAGTGTGCACAAAATGTGTTTGTAAGACGGAATTTGGAAAATGCCTGTTTCCTCATTAAATTACTGTGCAGCCTTGGCCAAGTCACCCTCTTTGGGCCTCAATTTGTGCACGTGTAAGTGGCGGTCAGAGGATAGCTCATGGGTCTCTGGAATTGAACTCAGGTGTCAGGGTTAGAGGTAGGTAGCTCTACCAGCTGAGCCAGCTCCAGCCCCTTTCTTGAATTCTTTTGGTTACTCTATTTACTTTCTGTGACTACAGGGGCCTTCTCCGATGTAATCCTTTTACAATCCCCAATGGGAGACACAGGCTCTGCCTTTGTAGCATAGTGAGGAAAAAGAGTTGGCTTGAGAGGGTCTCATTGCAATGAGATGGGGTAAATGCTATGAAGGCCAGGCATTCACACAGCTGGGAACAGAGAAGCGTAACCTTGGATGAAAGAGATTGGTGACTTCTGAGGTAATAGCCCTTGACCTGAGAGCTGATGGTGAGGAGAAGCACAGTAGAGAGACTCTGTTTTGATGGTTGGAACGGGTTGGGTGTAAAGAGCTGTGGAGGCAGCGCAATTAGCACATGCAAAGGTCCTGAGGCAGGAGGGGCTGTAGCATCTAAAAAGGCACAGAGAATGTTGGACAGACAGGGTGGTCTAGGAAATGTAAACAAGCTAGACCGCAGAGCCCTGGAGGGCCTTATAGTCCAAGTTGTTCATTACAGGTCAGTAGGAGGTGATCCTTGTGAGAACCGGAAAGAGACAGCATGTTTGGCTTTATCTAGGAGCAGGTAGTCCTTTTACAGGAGCCTGAGGCCCAAGGAGGAAGTATACACACAGATCTCGGGCTTGTCGATGGAGGAGAGAATTCACTGTTTTTTTCGTTTTTTTGAGACAGGATCTCACTAGGTAGCCTTGGCTGGCCAGGAACTTGCTATAGACTAGGTTGGCCTTTCAATCACAGAGAACTGTCTGTCTCTGGCACCCAGGTGCTAGGATTAGAGATGTGTGTCACACACAGTCTTAGTCTCCGTCCTAGTGCTGGGAGGAAACACATGACCAAGGCAAGAAGAGAAAGCAGTTTATTGGAGGCTGGCTTATGGTTTCGGAGGTTTAGTCCTTTAGCATCATGGTGGAAGCATGTTGACACACGTGGTATTGGAGTAGTAGCTGAGAATGACATCTTCATCTGCTGAGGGAGTAGCACTAGCCTGCTGTGGGCGATTGAACCCTTAAAGCCCTCCCACCGACACAAGGCCACACCTCCCAACCCTTCTAATCTTTCTCAAGCTGTGCTCCTCCCTGATGACATGAACATTCAAATTTATGGGCCTGTGGAGACCATACTTATTCAGCAACAATGTCTAGGTCTTCTTTCTTTTTTTCTTTTCTTTTTTTCTTTTTAAGGATTTATTTACATATGTGAGTACACTGTAGCCAGAAGAAGGCATTGGATCCTATTACAGATGGTTGTGAGCCACCATGTGGTTGCTGGGAACTGAACTCAGGACCTCTGGAAGAGCAGCCAATGTGGGTGTATATATACCAGAACACAATAGGTGAGGAGAAGGGCCCCAGGATCCAGCGTCGGTTGTTAGGATTAGCGGCAGGCATCTTGACTGCTGAGCCATTTTACCAATACCATCTCCCCTATTAATTTTGAGACAGCATCTCATGGGACTTGAATTCACTTTACATTTACTGTGTAACCAAGAACGGCCTTGGGCTTCTGATATCCCTGCCTCCACCTCCCAGGTGCAGGGGTTACAGGCAGGGATCACCATGCATGGTTGAGGCCAGTTCCCTAGATCCTGTGAGAGAAGCCCCCACAGAAGATCCTTGCAGGGAGTTCTGCCCCGGCTCTGAAGTGCTCTGTGAGTCTCTAGTCCCTGAGCAGCTCCTGTGAGAGCTGTGACCGGGGGTGGTATTGATGGTAGACAAGCAGACACTGAGCCCAGTCATCTGCAACACCAGAGTGTGGGGCGTGGGCTGTGTGGGCTTCTGGTCTGCGCAAGGGCTTTGGCCACATTTCCCTGTGTGAGCCGTCTGTGTGTCTGGGGCGGTGTGAGAGTGATGGAGTTCTCACACTTCCTGGCTGTGATCTGGAGCACAGGCTTTGGGACCTGGGAAGTATAAGTTTAAGCAGAGACAGTAAACTTTGGTCATTGTGGTCTGACCCGGCCACCAGCAGACTTCATGTCCATCCTTCCACTTAACACTCCAGCTGCTGTTCCAGATGTGAATGTGGAAAGCTGAGGCTGAGAGGCAGAGTAGTGTCCTTGCTGGTCCCACAGTGAGGCAGAGCTGACCCTGGAAGCTGGCATTGTCACTCAGGCCCTGCTCGTTCCAGGTTGTGCGTCCTGAGGTCCCTGCCACCGTTACCTCCTGCAGAGTCTCAGCTCATATCATTAGTGAAAGGGATACACAGACCCTTGCTTGTGATTGTGAGGGTTTTGGAGAGTCACTGTGTGTCTGCATGTCTGCACAGGTCGTCTACAATGTGGGACTCTGCATCTGTCTGTTTGATATCACCAAGCTGGAGGACGCCTATGTATTCCCAGGGGATGGAGCATCACATACCAAAGGTGAGTGCCTTCTCTTCCTAGGCTGTCATAGTTCTTGGGACTCATTTTTCTGTAGCAAAAAAAACCAAGCTGCCATGGCTCTTAAGGTGGTGGGAGACCTGGGCCCCAGTCCTAACTCTTCTAGGAATTGACTTCAGTGACTGGGTACTCATGTCATCTCTGGGCCTTAGTTTCTATACCTGTAAGACATCAGTGTGGATGGGGTATTCTCAAAGCCACTACAATTTTGAGATTTCGATTGTGGTTTAGCCTGTGTGTCCCTCTGGTTCAATCTAGTGCCCCTGATATTTGCCCTGCCCCCATGCTGCTCATTGCTTCATGGTGAGATAGCCCGCTAAGGCAAGGGCCCTAAGCTGTGGCTCCTACTGTCTGGGGAGCAGTAGGCAGGGGAAGAACAGGCCAATTGGGTCTAGGGACCTGAAGGGGCAGTAGGATATAGCAATTAAAAGTGTTCTCTGGGGCCAGCAAGTGGCTCAGGAGTAAATAATGTGCTTGTTACACAATCTGGAGAACTGACTGTACAGAATTTTCCTCTGATGTCCATATTATGGTATATATGTGTGTGAGGCATGCACGGATGCATGTATGTGGCTTCTAAGCAGGGACAGTGATACATGCCTGTAATCCCAACACTTGGGAGGTGGAAACTGGAGGATCAGGAGTAGCCTGTCCAACAGTGCTAGTAGATTCTATACTTCATGGCTTCCAGGGGTACTAAGGGGTTACATAGTAGAGCTCAAGACAGAACCTTGGCACTGAGGGAGTATGGGATGGCTTGTTTCTGTTGGTTCTGTGGGCTGCTTGCTTGGCTGGTGCTCTTCTGGGCAGTTAGCCAGGGCTGGCCTGAAGTTCTGTGCCTAAGTATGTCTTCAGCATACCTGGATGCCATTGGCCAAAAGATGTCACATGGCTAAAACTAAGGGATAGAGAAACAGACTCTGCCCCTTGTTGAGAGAAACTGCAGTAAAACTGAAAGGTATATGCATCTGGGGTGAAGGGGTGCTTGCAGAACCTGGAGGAGTGGTGGGCGGGGCTAGTGTCCAGGCTTCCTCTGTAACTTTGTTTCCTGGCACTGGGCAGCAGTGTGGCTCCTCGGCCTGCCCAGCCTGTTAATGGAGCAGAGGCAAAGTGACAGACACACAAGCCACAGTGAACCTTGTCTTTGTCTGTGTTGGTCATCTTCTTAGCCCAGGGATGAGTGGGCAAGTGTTCTGGGGTGTTTGGAGACAGCCTGGGGTCTGTGCTGGCACCCTGAGACTAGTCAGTTGACATGGGTGTTGAGCTCTGCAGAGAGCCCCGGGAAACAGGCTGTCTTTGTGTGGATCAGGCATTTTCATGAGTAGAAAAGGGGCCCAGAGTGTAGACAGCTGTGAGGAGCTCTGTTCTCAGGGAGGAGCGCCAAGCTGAGCTGGGCTCTGCACTTGGCCAAGGGCAAGGCTTCTGTTCTCAGAGAATGCTGCTGAGCTGAACCAAGAGCCTGCTGTCCAAGAGGCAAGTGCTAATAGGTATCCAATCTTCAGGAATATCAGAAACAAGTCAGCGCTAAGGACATGCTGCCCGTTACATTGGTGATATTTTGCACTTGGTCTCCAGGATTGGATTTTATTGTCCCAAACACCCTGTGTGTCATCCTGTATTTCTTGTTTCTTTGTGGGAGATATAAAGTACATCTCACAGACCTATGTTTGAATTCTGGCTCTGGCCCCTGGGATAGGGGTCTAAGTACACCATACCACACAGTGGGACTAGGCGTTCTCAAATCCTTGGAGGGCCACAGAGCACTGCGGGAGCATCAGAAACTCGGGGTCACACTTGGTGGCAAGCCTCTTTATTCACTGAGCATTTTTGCTGGCCCTCTTCTGCTTCCTGGCTTGTAGACCCTGACCAGTGCCTCATGTGAGTGGAATCAGGAATTTGTCCTTTTCTCAGAAATTCAACACAGCCCAAGGGTTGGGGAGTACACATCCCGGGATCTATTTTCTTTATGCCTGTTAACTAAAAGCAAATGAAACATGCCCTGCCCCCAGGGGTTCTGGGTGGTAATTCAGTACAGTCCTAGGGATGGAAACCCAGAGCTTCGCGCTGTATCTCTAGCCTTTTATTGTTGTTTTGAGACAAGGTTTATCTGTGTAGCTCTGGGTGTCCTGTAACCTACTATGTAGACAGGCTGGGTTCGACCTCACAGAGATCTGCTTCCAGGGTTCTGGGATTAAAGGCATGTGCCGTCATAGCCAGCTCCAGTCTTCCTTTCTGGGGCTGATAGATGTCCTACTGTGTGTACCCTGAGCTGCTCATCACTTGCTTTCAGATATGGTGTTTAGGCTCTGGGCACTGGTTTGCATGCTGTGCTATCCCAGAAAGCCGTGTGCCCAACTAAGCATGGCACAAGCCTGGCAAAAGCTTTGAGCTGAATGCTATGTCTTATGGAGGGCAGAGTTTTCCATCCTGTGCATAAGTGATCCACAGCTGCTCCTGGCTGGATTCTGGAGGGTTAGCAGAAGCCTCGGTCATCTTCAGGTTGTCACCTCACAGAAGGCAGAGTGCAGCTGGACAGAGCCAGGCATGGTAGGCCCTAATATCCTAAGATGGGTACTTAGCAGGCTAGGCCACTGAAGGAGTCCTGGTAGAAGCCTGTGCTGGTAGTAAGTCTGTGTGAGGAAGGTGCGTCCAACCTGGTGGCCTTGTCTGGGGAAAGACGTAGAAAATTGATTCTCAACTTGTGGTCGCAACTCCTTTGTTGGTTGAATATCAGATACTTACATTAGGATTCATAACAGTAGCAAAATTACAGGTATGAAGTAGCAATGAAATGATTTTATGGTTGGGAGGTCAACACAGCACGAGGAACTGTATTAAAGAGCTACAGCATTAGGAAGGCTGAGAGCCGCTGCTTTAGAGTCTATCTATGGCTAAGTGGGCAGGAGAACTATGTGGTTGGAACAAGACACACAGCCTCTGAGCTGCCTCCTCTTCCTCTGTATAGTAGAACATGACGCCTGGCACAGGAACCTCATATAGGCAGTCTGATGGCAGAGAGCATCTTCCTGGGTGAGAGGGCCAGTGAGGTGTGGCCCCTGCTGAGGCCAGGAATCATTCTGGTGTTGGTACAGCTTTAGCCAGCCTTTTCCTTGGGTTCAGGTGAGTAGGAAGCACAAGGGAGAAGGCCCGAGAACCCATGAAGTCACCCATGTGTCACCCTCCCCACATAGCCTTGGCGTTTTTAGTGTCCTATCCCAGGTCAGCTCTGTGCTGAGGGTCAGCTTGCTCAGGCATCAGGAGTCAGGAACTTCCTTCCAAGCCTGGCCAGTCACTCCTGTCCTTTTAGAATGTGAAGGACAGCCTGAAGGTTGTTGGAATTGACTTTGGAGTTGCTAATGACCCAGAATCTAGGCTCAGGTATCACTGAGATGGATTTGGAAGCCAGCCTCAGTTCCAGGGCAGCAGCTGCTGATGTTTCCTTATGGGGACCAAGCTGTGACCTTGCATACTGGAGGGATTGGTTCTCTGCCTTAGCAGAGAGGTCTAAGCCTGCAAGAGGACTCAGCACGAAGCACTGGATAAGTGTGCTGGCAGTGAGGTGGACATTTTCTTAGCAGGCCTAGTGTGACTACAACAATGTGGGCTTCTTTTCTAGTCCATTTCCGCTACGTGGTGTTCCACCCTTTCCTGGATGAGATTCTCATTGGGAAGATCAAAGGCTGCAGCCCAGAGGGTGTGCACGGTAAGGTGCCCAGACTTCTGGGGGAAGACTGGATGGAACACAGTGGGGTGGGCAGTGTATGCTGACCATGTGGTCCAGAATCCAGCTGACTCTTTCCTATGGCTTCAGAGAAGCTGTCCAGCTGCAGCGCCAAATGAGGGGTACCTCATGCCCTCATGTTCTCAAGGATGGAGTAAGGGCCTTAGCTCTGTGAGGTTTCACTGTAAGGCCCAGCTTTGGAGCCGAGAAGGGGTGCTGAGCTGGTGGAGGTGACAGGCTCTAGTGCCTGTGGTTTCTCTATGTGCAGCGAACTGGGAAGGCTGGGAGCTGTGTACTTGGAGTCGTGCCCAGGGCTGCTCAGCCCATGTGGGTACTATAGATATAGAAGTGGGGCTTTGAGGAAGGAGGGGACAGATTGCACTGGGAAAGGGACTTGCCATCTCTGCTGGGCTGTCCCTTTGAAGGCCTCATCTCATCATTTCTTCATTTCTTCCAGTCTCTTTAGGGTTCTTTGATGACATTCTCATACCCCCTGAGTCACTGCAGCAGCCTGCCAAGTTGTATCCTCTCAAGTATGATTTGGGGCAAGTGGACAGCCCCACTACTGTGCTGACCCTGGCGGCTCTGTGATCTGCCACTGCTGATGGTGCTGGTGTGACACCCCAGGCCACCTCTACTTCCCATTCTGACCATGGTCTCCACATGTCCATATCTGTCAGGCTGGGTGATACGATAGAGCTGTACATACCTTTGGGGCTCTTGTCACCCCTTGTCAGTTCACTTAGGCTATCTCTGCAGGAGTCATTTCAGATGTCCCCAGCAGGTTCACCCTGGCAGGTGTCTCCATTTCCCAGGATATGGGATGGATTTTCGGAGTTGGCCTGGAGTACAGAGCTGCTTTTCTTCACCCCAGCTCTGGGACTGTTTGTTTTGATGGGACTGTCCCAGGAGGGGCTCTGGTATGTTACAACTGCACCCCTGGCTCCGCAGATATGGAGAATGCAGTGTGCCACTAGAGGGCAGTATGGCTCTGTAGGCTATGGGGGAGTAGAGCAGGTGCCTGCACAGGCCTTCCTCTCACCCGGGTCTGTGCAGGCAGAAGCATGAGACTGTGGAATTGTCAGCAAATCTGGCCCTGTTTTATTCCTCCTCCTCCTCTTCTTCCTCCTCCTCCTCTTCTTCCTCCTCCTCCTCAGGCAGGTGGCAGTTAAACCTGCCTCTCATCTTGAGACCCAGGCAGGCCCATGATCCGTCTGCCAGATTACTTTTGAGGATTAAATGAGAAGTGCAGGGCACCTAGCTCACGCTCATTTCTAGACATGGGACTATCATTCTCATTTTGGGTCCTGGTGGGAACTGGATCCTCTCCAAGGGACAGAAGCATCTTTTACTATATTTCCTAGCACAAATAGTCTCAACTTAGGGCTGGTTTTAACTTGGGTAAGTACTTCAGAGGACCCTCAGGCTCACACTCCCATGGCATGATTGTGGCCTTGACGCTGGACTCCAGTGATGAAACAGAACAAGTGTGGGTGTGGGAGTATGAGACGGAAGAAGGAGCTCATGACCTGTACATGGACACTGGGGAGGAGATCCGCTTCAGGGTGGTGGATGAGAGCTTTGTGGACACATCCCCCACAGGACCCAGCTCAGCTGAGGCTGCCTCTTCAAGTGAGGAGCTGCCAAAGAAGGAAGCGCCGTATACGCTTGTGGTAAGCTGACAGGAGACTGCTTTCTTGAGGTTTCGTTCCTAGAACCCCCTTAGCAGGTCAGGTGTGTGGTGACTGTCATCTGTCAATCACACTAGTCTGCTTTTGAGGGCTGGGGCCATGAGGTGACAACGTTGCTGTAGATGGGCAGGCAAGGTGAGACTTTGGATATGAGGATCTTTAAGGAAGGGACAAAATCAATGAGAGGCTAGAAAGATCAAAGCTGAGACTGGAGCAGGGTTCCAGGAGAGTGTTTCTCAGGCTCCTCCCTCTGCAACTTCAGGAGCTCAGAAAGACAGGTCTGGGGTTGAGGATTACCTGATCCCACTTGAGGCTTTGGTGCCTCTTTCCTAAAACCGTGGTGAGCTGGGACAGAAGTGGTGATATGGCTCCCAGTCTCCACAGCCTCTCAGCTATTGTGAACCTGACTTCCTTGCCTGTGCTGGGCCTGCTAGGTGCTGAATAGGGTGGGGTACTAGTCCCTCCTGTTCCAGGCAGCACAGCTCTGAATAGTGATGAGTGTACCTGTTTCTGTCTTTGGCAGGGATCTATCAGTGAGCCAGGCCTGGGCCTTCTCTCCTGGTGGACCAGCAACTAGCCCTGGGGCTCACAGTGACTGCCCAGCCTGAAGACCTGTCCAGACTTGTGAAAGTAGAGAACAGTTGGCACTCTGAGGAGTGCTGCCCAGAGCCAGGCTTGGTGGGACCAGGAGCAGAGTGACAAGTGCTTGTCCTCTTCCTCCCCAGCACTGCTTCTGTGGTCTGGAGCCACCCTGAACCGTTTCCTGTGTCATGGATCTAGGCTGGCTTCTCACTTGCTGTACAGCATAGAATAGTCTGGAGTTTCTGACCCTCCAGCTTCTACCTCTTGAGTGCTGGGATGACAAGTGTGTAGTACCACATGAGCTTACGTGAAGGTAGGGATGGGGCCCAGGGTTTGTGCACACCATGCAAACATTCGACCAGCTCAGCTGCTTCCCCAGCACAAGGACTGATTTATTTTTTTATTTTTGTAATTTCTTCACGGCTGAGGCTGGAACCCAGGGCCTCATTCATGTTAAGCAGGTGCTGTACTACTGAGCTAAGCCTAGTCTTGCTATGAACTTCTGGCTTTCAGTGACAGCAGAAACATTTAATAAGTACTGGTGGTAGCAGTAGGAACCTCCCCATTTCAGTAGCTGACATCACAGTCTAAGGTCACTGAATTGCCAGTCTGGGACAGCATGTCCTGCCTCACCCCAAGGTCCATTTAGAGATGACCTTTCCCAAGCCCACAGATGTAGGCCTTTGTTTGAGACCAGGCTGACTACTGAGCTTAGGGGCTCTGTAATAAAGGAGGTCACTCTGGGTCAGTACTGTCAGTTGCTGATGAAGTTGGAACACTAAGCATTCTTAATTCCACAGCATCTGGAAGGCAGAGCCTCCAAAATGAACCAAAACCCCTCCCTGTCTAGGAAGTGGAGATGGAGGCCTACCTCACAGGAAGCCTGGGGCTGCTGCTGCTGCCTCTGTGACCATGAGCACCCTGTGGGAATAGATTGCCCCAGGTCCACAGATGACTGTCTAGTCCTGCTGTCTCTTTCTCACTGGCACTTGTGTGATAAATACTGTTCTGTGACAAACCCCTGTGGCCGGCCTGGGCCTTTCCATGTGAGATTTAGCTGATACAGCCTAATAGAGCCTATTTTGTCACAACTCTGCTGCAGAGGCTGGAGGGGCAGACAGCATGCGACGTTTGTTTATTAGCTGTGTCTTGGAGCCGGTTACTTTTCAGGCTGTTTTAACTCTGCAGTCTAGGCTGGACTTGAACTCAGATCCATTTGCTCTGCCAGGATTAAAGGTGTTGCCACCACCACCAGCTTTATGTTTAAGATAGGTGCTTCGTCTACTCTCAGGGTAAAGATTAGCTCTAGAACTGTAGCCCCCCAGGGGGACAGAGGAGGAGGCAGCTCTTGGTCACTGAAGCTCACAGTTACTGCAGGCCACATGTGCAGGGCAGGAGGGGATGGAATAGTTTTTCTCATCACTCCTGACTGCGCTACAGTGAGCAGGGTCCAGATGTGACCAAGGAATGATGGAACCTTGGCTTGAAAAACCCTCCATTAGCCCAAGCTGATAATAGTAGACACCAACCACTCTCAGAACTTTCAGTAGATTTGGATCTTTTTTGTTTTTTTCTTATAAGAACAAGTTTCTCTAAAATCTTTCAGCCACCAGTGAAATGATCAGGCAGAATAAAAACTTCTGTAGAGGGAGTGCTGTCATCAAAAATAAATACAGTTGCATGGGTTGCTCAAAAACAAACCAAACTCAACAGGAAGGCGGGGCTGCCCTCCATGGTGGGTCACTCGGTGTGCTAAAGATGGGGCAGGAAGCAGGTCTGGTCATCTGAGAGCAGGTGGTCATGCTGGACAGACCAGATGAGGCTCTGAGGACGCACATGGACCTGTACTGTGACCCCCAGCAGGGTCAGAGTGGGACAGGACAGCCAGCCTGGTTCCTCACTGCTGCAGCTCCTTCATCCTGTTGAGGGCACTGCCTGCACGGAACCACTCAATCTGCGTCTCGTTGAAAGTGTGGTTCAGGAGGATGGTCTCCTGGGTCCCGTTGGGGTGCTTGATGATGCAGTTCAGCGGCTGCAACAGAAAGATGAGTGTGGGTTGGGAGTGGATGGTGCTCCCAGGAACACAATCCTCACTGGGGGCGCTTAAGACCTAAGGTTGTATCAGGCAAGCTGTCGGGTACTAAGTGCCAGGCCAGGGCTAATGTCTGGCTTGGCTCTTTCAGCTGGAACATGGATTCACAAGAGCTGTAATTATGCAGGACAGGAAACAAGGTGACTGCCCAGCCCCACCCACCCAAGAAATCCCTGGTTTCTCTCCTCTCCTTTAGCCTCCTGACCTTGCCAGGGGCAAAGTCCTTCAGGCCTTGAATGGTCAGCTTGTCCACTGGATGAATCTTGTTGTAGTCAGAGGGGTCAGCGAAGGTGAGAGGCAGCAAGCCCTGCTTCTTTAGATTGGTTTCTGTTAGACAAACAAGAAGTTGCAGTGCGGCTCCTCTTCCCAACACTCCTTAGTAGTCCCGGGAGCACTCTTCTCTAAAGGGATATAGACAAACCCCACCCACAACCCCAGTCCTTCTGCAGGGCAAGCAGGCACTGCCCAGGTATGCTGGGTGCCAGTGACCCTTTTCCACAGCAGCACTCCATGCAGGTCTGTGTTAGTATAGATGGACATGCTGCATGCCTTAGGTTTCAGCTGACAAGCTTGTGGGGAAGCCATGGCTATTAGACTTGGGCAATGCCAACTTGGCCTTGGGTAGATGGGACAGGCTATACGGAATATGGCCTACTCCAGGTCAGCCAGTGGCAGAGTAGGTGGCCTTGAGTGAATGTGGGGATGGCGCTGACTCACCGTGGATCCTGGCGAAGCTCTTGGTGATGATGGCCCGGCCCCCCAGGTGTCGAGGCTCCAGTGCTGCATGCTCCCTGCTTGAGCCTTCACCATAGTTCTCATCTCCAACCACCACCCACCTGATGCCGTGTTTCTGTCAGGCAGCAGGGATGGGGAGTGAGGCAGTGGAAGGTGCTGCCTGAGGGCTTGGGTGGTGTGGGTACAGGAGAAACAAACTAGAGGGGGCATGACTAGAGGAAATTGTTATCCCAGCACACTGAGAACCCTGCCCAAGGAGTCAGGTGTTCTGGCCCCAGACCTAAGGTTAGAGGAAACCTTAGAGAATTGCTTTAGGGTCAGCTGGAAATCGAAGCTCAGAGAAGAGCCACAGGAGGTCTCACACAGACCAAGTATTGAGGCACTAAGCCCAGGCTGGAACTCTCTCTATAGATTAGCCTCGAAATCAAGAAATCCACCAGCTTCTACCTCCCAAGTACTGGTATGGTGTGAATCAATGCTGGCCTACCTTGTAGTAGCGAGCAGTGTCAGGTACAGGGCCAAACTCCTGGGTGACAGCATTGCGCACAGAGTTGGCTTTGCCATTTTCGATGTTGATGGCACCAATGAGCAGGTTATTAGAGATGTTATCCAGATGCCCACGGAACTTGAGCCAGGGACCAGCAGCAGAAATGTGGTCTGTGGTACACTTGCCTTTGACCTTGGGTGGGTGAACAGACAAGCCAGGATGAGGCAGTGAGCAATGGATAAAGGAGACAGGCGGCAGCGAGCAGAACAAGGAGGGGCAATTAGGGATAAATGTCCAGCCTTGGCCCTGTAATCTATGCAGTCCTGGTGTTCCCATGCCACCCACCCTCTCAAAAGCCCCAGCTATGCTGTCCCCATGACAGGATACTCTCTCATGGGGCAGGCTAGATATGGAAGACAGATGCAGCTGTTTGCTTATTCAGCTAAGCTGCCAAGGGTGGAAGATCAGCGACTCCAAGCCAGACATAGAAGCTAGGAGTCATGTCTGGGTCCTGGCTCACATGAGCTAAATACTGGCTGTGTCACAGGCATGCCTGAACACTGCTTAGTAAGCCCATAAATTATTGTCTGACATGAGTCTGAGGCCCTTGACCACACTAGAAAGGCCGAGCTCCCAAACAGTCCCCATCTGGTAATGGCCCAATAATAGGAGTGCTGTCTGCTGTCAATCCAGAGCTGAGCTGAGTCACGTGATATGCTCACACTAGGTGGCTGAGGCCTGACAGTAACTGGCTGGATCAGGCTGTGCCCCAGCCCAGAATCACGTAGAAACGGGAGCCACCAAACTCCTGTGATCATTCCCTTCTTGAAACCCTCCCTCCCTGTTCCCTTGGGTTCCTCAGCCACACCTAATGCTTGGGGATGGGATGGCTGTGCCAACCTTGATGAGGATTTGCAGGTCCTCTAGGTCTTTGCCATCCCACTTGTCGAAAGGCTCCAGGAGCTGCAGGCGCTGGCTGGTAGGGCTCACGTCCACCCTCTGGCCACTGCTGTCCTTAGGGGGGTGCTGGTATGTGTCCTGCCCTGGATCAAAGTCCTACAGAAGGGGTGGAGACATTGGGCACTGAATCCTTAATCCCCACATGTCTGGTACACATGTCCCCACATTTTCTGTGTCCCAAATTTCATTCTTTCTCAGTAACAGTGTCAGCCCACCTCACATGAGTCCAGGCAAGTAGGCCAAGACAGGTCTATGGTTGGCTAGCCATAAAAAAATATCAGCATCTGCTCACCGATCGGGGAAGCTCATCGGCATCTGGAGCCTCCAGCTTGAACTTCTTGCCATCCTTGCCTGTCAAGAAGTCAGTTTCTGGGTTGAACTTAAGGGTTCCAGCAATGGCCAGGGCCGTGACAATCTGAAATGGAGGAGGCCAGTTTGCTGGTTAGCACCAACCACCTACATCTATCTAAAGTTGTTTTTACTGGTGTTCTGTGTGAATGTGCATATGATACATGTGTGTGTGTATACATAAAGTGTACATGTTGGGTCAAAACTGTGCAGTTAATTTCTCTTCCTACCTCTATGTAGGAGGTTCTGGGCATTGAACTAGGGACTTTGTTATGTGTGGTAACACTTTTGTCTGCTGGGTCATCTCGCTGACCTTCTAAGGTCTCGTAATGAACCTGGAGCTCTGGCTTTGGCTGGCTGAGAAGCTGTAAGGGTTTTTGTTTTTGTTTAATGTGGATGTTGGGAAGTCAAACTCAGATCCTCATACCTATGCAGCAAGTACTTCACCAACTGAACCATCTCTGTCTCTCCAGGCCCCTCATCTGAGGCCAGGGCTGCAGGGCTACCTCTGGGACTGTGAGCCACCAGGCCTGCAGAGTACTCATACCCAGGAGTTTCTAAAATAGCTCCAGGGCCTGAACTCTTTGTGTGCCCTAGGCTAGAACAGCACTACTATGACACTTTCCTGTTCTTGCAGGTGTCTGGGAAGAACTACTTCCTCACAAAGCAGTGAGACTGGCCTGTGATAGTGAAGTCAATGTGGAACACCCTTCAGTGCCTAAGATGTGTCAGCTGATTCAATGCCTGTAGTAATTAATAGCAAAGGCACATTTTTACTGAACTTCTTCACACCCTTCTCACATGACCCTGGAAGATGAATAAGTGACCAATCTTAGGAGAGCAAGGGCCCGTCCCAGCCAGCGAGATTCCATAGTCCATACTCATATCCACTAACTGCTGAATACCTCGAGCTGAGGGAGACCAGCAGGAATCACCAAGTCAGCGTGATGTTTGATGGCTGACAAGGCCGTGTCTCTTGGCTTCTCCTTTGATAACTCAAATTAGGAGTGTCCACTGATGGGTAGGGACTAACAGGAGAGACTAACTTGTTCTTTTGTACTCTAAGCAGCCATCTCCCCACCCTTTCCTCTGACCCACCAGGAACAGGACTCCCCAATGCAGTCAGGCTAATACCTGGCCAGGTAGTCTTACCTCTGGGGATGTGACAAAGGCATGGGTCTCAGGGTTTGCATCATTTCGGCCTGTGAAGTTCCTGTTGTAGGAGGTGACAATTGTATTCTTCTCTCCCTTCTTGATGTCTTTCCTGCCAGGACAGGGGATAGGATTAGAGATACCTAGCCTTGTCTCATGGACTGTCCAGAAGCCAGTTTGTCTGGTTTCATATGGTACATGCCTAGATCATGAAAGGGGAATGGCAAGGCTCTGAAAATGTTGTGTCCTCCGGGGACTCAAGCACACTGCACAGGGCACGCTCAAGCTCCCCAGGCCTCATCTGAGAGAATGAAGAAAAGAGGCACAGGCCAGACAGAGGCCTGAGTCTCCTCACTTAGGCAGCTGCCTGCTCTTAAAAGGCTCCATCAGAGCCACCAGCTTGCCCTCTAGGATGCAGCTGCCTTGGCTTCTTCTTGCCAGCCAGGGCTCAGCCTCTGGCCACTCAGGGCTTCTGTAGGGCTCTTCTAACTGAGTGCCCATCCATGTCTGACAGGGACTTCTAATGTGTCACAGGGCTGGAACCAGAAGCCATAGGCTAGGGTCTTCTCTCCACTATGTACTTTTGCACCAAGGAGCTAGAGGCTACTCTCTTAGGAAGCACTACTTACCTGTCCCACTGGCCGATGCAAGGGCCACAGGCATTGGCCAAAACAATTCCACCCACATCCCTTAGGATCTGTGCCTACAAAGGATAAAGAGGACAGAAAACTGTCAGGGCCAGGTACATCGCTGATGACAGTGGGTAAGGCAACAGCCTAAAGGATGAAAGGCTGAGCCTGCATTGCCTTAGCCCAACAGGTGGTAGCTTGTTCTACCCTGAAGCATACACCAGCAGGCATGGTGGGAAGCTAGGGGCAGGGGCAGGGGCAGGGGCAGGGGCAGGGGCAGGGGCAGGGGCAGGCGAACACTCACATAGCCGTCCCGCTCAATAGTGGCTCGGATCTGCTCAGAGCCTGGGGTGATGGTGAACTGGGACTTGCACTTGAGTCCGTGGGCCAGGGCCTGCTTGGCCACAGCTGCTGATCGTCCCATGTCCTCGTAGCTTGAATTGGTGCAGCTGCCAATCAAACCTGGTATATGGTAGGGTCAAAGGTCAGAAGATAGTAACCAGAAGTCTCCATCTGACCTGGGACAAAGAGATCACTAAGTGATCTGGCACAGAGATTATTTCTAATAGACATGTTGGAAGTGACCTAAATATCAGCAATAAAGGCTACTCATAACCCAGTCATTCATAGTCACTGACCATGACACTCATTTTCACAAAAATTTTATTCAAATGTGAAAGTACACATAAAACCCAAAAGGCTTTACTTTTTCTTTTTTGAGACAGGGTTTCACATAGCACAGGTTGACCTTGAACACCTGATCTTCCTGCTTCACCCATCTGAATGCTAGGATTATAAGCATGTACCCTACTTTAAGGCTAATACTAACACATTCACAATGATTACTGCTTAATGGAAACTGACAGGCTAATTTTCTAAGGTTTTTCTGCTTTCTGCTTGCTTTATTTTTTATTTTATTTTATTTATTTGTTTACTTATTTTTGAGTAGAGTTTCTTTGAGTAGCCCTGGCTGTCCTAGAACTTGCTCTGTAGACCAGGCTGACCTCAAACTTGCCTCTGCCTCCCAAGTGCTGGCATTAAAGGTAGGCATCACCACTGTCCAGCTTTCTGCTTTTTTTTTTTTTTTTTAAAAAAGATTTATTTATTTATTTTATTTATGAGTACACTGTCGCTGTCTTCAGACACACCAGAAGAGGGCATCCAATCTCATTACAGATGGTTGTGAGCCACCATGTGGTTGGTAGGATTTGAACTCAGGATCTCTGGAAGAGCAGTCAGTGCTCTTAACCGCTGAGCCATCTCTCCAGCCCCCTCTGCTTGCTTTTTAATCAGAGCAACAAAAGATTAACCTTGTTAAGCAGTCACAGCTGGGCAAGCTTTTAACCTCAGAACTCAGGAGGCAGATGCAGGAGGACTTCTGTGAGTTTGAGACCAACCTGATGTACTTACATAGTTCTAGAATAGCCAGGGCTATATAAGGAGACCCTGTCTAAACAACAACAAAAACAAAAAGTAAAACCTTGTTATTAAAAAGTTCGGTAGAACTGAATGACCTCATACTGTCTGTTAATGCCAAGTTTCTCTTAGCGCAGCAATTTCTTGTCTTTTTCTTTGAGACAGTGTCTTATATAGCCTTGGCTGGCCTTGAACTCATAAAGACCTGTTCAGCCCCCTGGTGCTAGGGTTAAAGGCATGCACAACCATGCCTAGCCAGCATTTTTTTTCTTCCTTTCTAATTATTAGACACTAGAGAGAGCTCTTTTTACCTTAGAAGGACAAACCCGACTATCATTCCTGACTAGATGGGGAACCAGACTTGGATTTTGAAGTTTCCCTTCTTGAGAACATGTATTGACAGGAGGCACATGCGTATTTATACTGAAAATGATTTCCTTTTGTTTACCCAGAACCTGAGGGTGGTGGACTGTGCTATGCTCTATCTGGCGACTCTAAGCGCCCACCCTGTCTTCTCAACAGTGACCTTGTTGAGTCAGTGACAGTGTGACAATGTGAGTCTTCTGATGGACAGTGAGCTGCTTCTCCTTTTTGTTTTGTGTTTGGACGTAGCTATGAAGCAGCAGAGCCCGGGTTCACACCAGGCCCTGTGAGTGCAGGCCACAGAGACTGTGAGTGCTCAGGCTGAGCTACAGTAGCAGTGTGCCAGTGTGTCTGCATGTGTGACGTGTGCAGACAACAGAGATGTGCATATTCATGTATACAGTGACACAGTAACGTTCTTAAAGACTATTTCTGCCAGGCAGTGGTGGCGCACGCCTTTAATCCCAGCACTTGGGAGGCAGAGGCAGGCGGATTTCTGAGTTTGAGGCCAGCCTGGTCTACAGAGTGAGTTCTAGGACAGCCAGGGCTACACAGAGAAACCCTGTCTTGAAAAACAACAACAACAACAAAAGACTATTTCTGGTTAAGAGTCAGAGTTAGAGGTATTTTACAACTCTTCTTCTGAAGTACAATAAGTATGCTATCCCAAGCACAGGTAAGATCTGAATAATTAGACCTCCTACAGAGTGCCTGCCCCAAGAAGTGCCATGAAGGTGACTGTCCCCAGATACCTATTAACCTGATAAAGTGGAAGGCACTCACCTACTCTGATGTCCAGAGGCCAGCCTTCCTTCTCTGCCACAGTGCCCACGTCTGCCACTGGGTGAGCCAAGTCAGGGGTAAAGGGTCCATTGATATGTGGCTTTAGCTGAAAAGACAGGGTCAAGGAGCAGTGAGACAAGAAGTAGAGTGGGGATGGATGTTCTTCACAGATTCCCCCATTTCTATAGAAGGAACTGGCTTCAGTCCTCAGGGCTCAAACTTTGTCATGGGAGACAAGTGGGCAATAGGTTGGGGTTGCACATAGCACTTGTGAGTCCCCCAGCCTTATCAGACTGTCTCATCTCCACACGGTATACACAGGAACTGAAGACAGATGTACAGAAACAATCTGAGCCATCTGCCTCACAAGTCTATCATCTCTGAAACTACACTGCTTTTGAAGGAGCTGGGCCTGATGGTGAGGACTGAATTCTAGCTACTTGAGAGGCTGAGGCAGGAGGACTGCAAGGTAAAGTCCACCTTGGTTAGTTAACAAAGTTAGTTCAAGGAGAGCATGAGGAACTTAGTAAGACCTTCTTATAAAGAAGAGATAGCTGGGCACTACACAGAGAAACTCTGTCTCAAAACAACAACAACAACAACAACCAAATAATAACAAAAACAAAACAATGACAACAAAAAAGAGGGCTGGGGACACAGGTGTGCTTGTCTAGAGTTCAACTGTATTACCAAGGGTTGGGATAGACCAAAAACGTTCCTACTGGAATCTTTTTTTTCTTTTTTGGTTTTTCAGAGACAGGGTTTCTCTGTGTAGCCCTGGCTGTCCTGGAACTCACTCTGTAGACCAGGCTGGCCTTGAACTCAGAAATCTGCCTGCCTCTGCCTCCCAAGTGATGGGATTAAAGGTGTGTGCCACCACTGCCCGGCGTACTGGAATCTTCTGACAGTCAGACCATGCCATATGCTTTTTATGAGGAATGACTAACAAACATGACGTGCACAGCAGACAAACACCAACACACCAGACTGTTACTACATGACTTAACCCATTTCCCTGACTCCTTAGGTTCCACACTTTATGCAGTGAGGCCTACAGAGGTGGATCAGCTTGTACAGATCCACAGAGCCAAGGCTGGCACTCAACAAACAGCCTGGCTTCTGCTGCTCTAGAGCCCTTTCCTGGCTCTCTGAACACCTGTTCTGCAGGCATCAGGATGCCAACTCATTGCAGCTTGCCCTAAGAACTCAAAGCAAAGTGGGCCCTCAGGGCAAGATCTTGGCCTCCAGTGAGGCTGGGGAGCAACAAATGGACACTCATGTCAGACTTGCTTTCTCCATGGCTGAATGTCATGTCCTTCCGTCTGTCTCCCATTCCTGCCTGATTTAGGCCTAGGAACCAAGGGTCAACTGCCCTGCTGGATGTGCTGGTAGGACCTGCCCTGCCCCACCCCCACCCAGTGCCAAAAATAAAAGCCCCACCCTCAGCAGTCCCCCAAACTGTACTTTTCCACTTACCTCATTGAGGTTAATTTCAATCACTTGGTCATACTGGCAGCCAGGGTCAGGCACTAACTGATCCTTGAATTCTTCTGCTAGGTTGGCAATGTCTGGAATCCACAAGGGAAGAGAATGAAACAGAAACTTGTTTTAAGACTTTATTTGTACACCTGAGCCAGATACCTGCCACTTACCAAATGGCAGGTTCCAGACAGTAACTAAGTCAACAGAGAGACAAGTCTAAGAGCACAGGATGCTGCCTCTGCCCACGAAGAGCTCTGCCTCTTGAAGAGGCTGTCAGTGAGCCAAGAATGAGAAGGCATGAGACACACAGGATATGGAAAAAGTACTAGGATTACAAACACACTCTACCACACAGTGTGTGAGAATCAAAACCATTTTCCCCCAATACAGAGTTTCTCTGTGTAGCCCTGGGTGCCCTGCGACTCTGTAGACCATGTTGACTTTGAACTCAGAGATCTTCCTGCCTTTTCCTCCCCAGGGCTAGATTTAAAGATGTGTGCCACCACTCACTGGTAAGGAGCAGAATTTTTAAGAAGTCACTGAATAAAAAGAGATAAAGGTAGTCCAGGTAGGACTCAGGAGGCTCTCAGCTTCCCAGGACATCTAACCTGTAGTACCTACCCATTCCCCTACACCACCCTGCCTTACCAGGTTCTAGCCCTTTATTTCCTTGTTTGAGCTTCAAAGAAACCCACGAGAAGCTTGAAAGTTGCTGGGGGAAGCTGGGAAGTTCCCTCAATCAGCTATACAGGAGACCCATGTCACTTCCAGAGCTACCTGTAGGGGACACTGGGGACTAGGCAAGAAAAGACCAGATTCAGCCAGCTTTTCCCATGAAACTCACATGGATAACCTGTAGCAGGGATAATTTGGATGCCAGACTCTTTCAGAGGCTGAAGACATAATTAGAAGCAATCACACACACCTAGTTTGTCATCTACCTGCAGGGACTTCTGGGCCTCTGCATGGCAGCCAGCCTAGGGATAAAGGCTAAGTGCTCATGTCTTCAGGACAGGAGTACAGCATGGCTGTGTGCTCACCCTGCCCCCATGAGCTCACCTGCTCGGCCTGTCTTGCTCAGGTACTTTTTCATCCTGTGGTTGTATGGGAACACTGATGTAGTAGCCCCAATTTCTGCACCCATGTTGCAGATTGTTGCCATGCCTGTGGAGAAACAGAGCCCAAAGCATGAGGCTACTAGGCAGCTAGCTGTGGGCCCTAGTACCAGCCAGGTAGGCACAGAGCTCTTCATACAGTGAGCTGCATCACTTCCTTCCTGGCCTAGAAGGCCACCTAGCACCAGCAGGTACCCATCCCTCAAAGCCCATGGCCAGTGAAAGGGTCTCAGCCTTCACAAGCAGAATTCTAGCTCAAAGTCTAGCTTTCCTACTCAGCAGAGCACGTAGATAGCTCTGTGTACTGAATGTGGACATGGCTAGCCACTGCTTAGAGTGGTTCAAGACCATTCTAAAGAAATAAATGCTGGCACTAGATTTAGGTCTCAGTCTGTCTGCCTGGAATTCTGCCCTCTCTCAGTCACAACAGGGTACTATGTAAATAATTTTTGAAGTTTGAACAAGAATGAGATAACTTGGGTACAGAACGTAATGCCTGTCATCCTAGCTACTTGGGAAGTACAGATATGAGGGCTGCTTGAACTCAGGAGGTTTTTGGTTTTTTGAGACAGGGTTTCTCTGTGTAGCCCTGGCTGTCCTGGAACTCACTCTGTAGACCAGGCTGGCCTCGAACTCAGAAATCCACCTGGCTCTGCCTCCCAAGTGCTGGGACTAAAGGCGCCACCACTGCCCGGCTCCACATACTACTCTTAAGCAGCAAGCAAGGTACAAAAACCTGAAACTTAGCAGAGTTCTGTGACTGTCCAAAGTCTCATTTGCAAGGTACTTGTGTATAACTAAGTGTAGTTGTGATTAGTAATGTGGTGATTGGTAAGAACAGTGTGATTTCTTCAGGGCATTTGACAGATCAGTCAGATTGCCTCTAACAACAAAACACAAAAGTCAGGGCTGAGTGGCAGTTCAATGTGGTGGCTGTTACACTGGGTTGAACATGAGTACCCAAAGAGTATTGACAAACAGATCAACATTGGCCTAACTACACATCTGCCCTCAAGAGCCTGTCTGGTTACTCATGCTTCCTATGTGGCTGGCACACATTGAAAGGGCCAGGCTTCCCAGACACAGCATGGCACTCTAGTGACTGTGGACCACATCTTATCCCAGATCTCTGCCCCCAGTAAAGGGAGGATGGGAGGACTCTGAAAAGTTAGGATTCTTCTCCTACTCACTCCAGGCTCCCAAAGGCTGCTAGAAAATTCTCCTCACTCACAGCTTACTGTGATTCAGGCTATCAGAGTAGTGAACTTCTTGTCTCTCACAGTCCTTAACTGTAGTGCCGTCATTAGTATCTTCTGCTTAGGTGTCACTTATAATGCACAGGGAAAAGCTCAGAGGGATGGCACCTATGGCTGATTTTGTCTTTCACCCTGTAAGTAACAAGCTGACTGTGAGATGATCACCCTGTCTTAATTGCACTAGTCAGTCTGTGACCTGGTTTAGTGTGAAGTGGACAGGAAGTACGGGTTTCATTTGGCTTTTAGCAATGGGAAAGTTACAGAACCCTTAAACAAGATCATGAGATCAGAGTTGAATTTTAAAAATCATTGTGGGTATTATACAATGCATTCAAACACTGGAAAGGCTGCTGGTAGCTTTTCACATGACCTTTCCTAGGAACACATTGTATCTAACACTTGAGCACCTATTATGTGCCAAGAAACACTAAGAAGAAAGACAGCCCTACAGTGATATACCTTTGTTGGGTCAAGATCAGCAAAACCCAAAGTAACCTTTGCAAAGGTCATAAAGGAGACTCCTGCCAACAGTAAGTGAGGAACTCTGCTTGGGATGCCTAGGTGAGAAGTCACTGAGGAACAGGATGTGCACATCATAAAATACAAAGCAGGGACCAGACCTGGTCAGATAGAGTACCTTTAGTTAAAGAAGGCTGAGGCAGGAGAGCTGAGAGTTCAGACTGGAGCTATAGTGTAAGGTTCTGTCCCAAAACAATGCATAACCAGACAAAGGGCAAGACATGGTAACGGTGGTACAGCGCCCCCTAAACCTGAACTCTTAAATTTTGGTTTTTCAAGCAGAACACAGCTTGAGGAACAGATCCCACCATTAGTCCATGGTGCACCTGCCCCTGTCATGGTGCCTGGCTGCTACAAAGACAGATTGCTCCCATCCTGTCATGCCTAGGTTACATCAGAACTACCTGTTAGTGAGCCGTCATGTCAGTGGGTCCTTGCCCTCAGAAAGCCAAGAAGCTGCAAGTGGTTGAGACTGGGATCCTGGGTCAGGCAGGGTTACTCGACTGCCAGTGTGCCACTGTGGATGCCCCAATACAAGAACCAGGTGCAGAAATAGCATCCTTCTAGATCTGGATTGTCTCCCTTAGAATCTCAGCCTTCTGGGCTATGAGACTGTGGGATTCCTGATCTCTCTTGAGCCTTGACTTCCTCTTTTATAACATAAAGACAAAACAGCGAAGAATGTGAGGGGTCGGAAAGAACATATAGTTCAAAAATGTAGAGAAAGGCCCAGAGTGACAGCACAAAGCTGCCAGTGGGGACTGGTAAGAGATGCTGGAGAACTCCGCCTGGGTGAGCTGTACTTTGTCAGGAGGAAGTATGAAAGATGGCTACAGGAATACAGATGGGGTCAGATCCTTTTTATTCTTGGCCATGGCCTCCACATTTCCAAGACTTACTGCTCTCAGCAATTAACTGCTCAGCCCTTCCTGGCAGGGAAACCTAATGAGTAGCTCCTTCTTGGTGGGCAACCCAGGAATACCGGTCAGCCAACACTTTGTGGAGTGGAAGCATCTCCCCACACCTCCACTGCAGCTTCTAACAACATTTTCTCACCCCTGGTGATAGGCAACGCTTGGCACCTCGCCTAAGCATCTAAAGCTGCACAATTCCCTCTTGCCAGCAGGCAATCAGCTAGCTCGGTTGCTATGCAACGGGCAAGAACAAAAGTGGTGCTATCCTTTCCAGAGCCAAGGAAAAGATCCACGCCTCCCAGTCACAGCCTCTAAATGTCTACCAAAGGCAGCAGGGGTCCCTTTAATAAACAGGCTGATGGACTCACTCATCCGTCTAATTCTCTTTTGCAGTTGCCTTCAGTAGCAGAGGCTGCGAGTTGCATACAAATCCTGAGCCCTGCTCTGGCTTGCAGATTAAGCAGCCAGTTCTACAGCAGCACATCGAGAAGGGCACTCTTCAAAGCTCCTCAGGCAGCCTGTGAACCCAGCCAAGAATAAAGCTGCCATATAAGACCCACACCTCTGCCTTGCTGGTATCTGGGACAGAAGGCAATCACAGCCCCAAGAGATATGCACTGAAACCAGTGGAGGTCAACTGAACAGTTTCCCTTATATCCAGCCTACTCTCCAGAGATTTGGCTTCTACACCCTACCCCCAGGGAAGGGCTCTGGGGAAACAGGCTGGCTGAGCGGTCAAAAGCCCAAGTTCTGTAGTCCAATACATCTCTGCAACCAACATCTGGCTCTATAGCGTGCTACCTGTGACCTCAGATGAATTATTCAACATGTGTGGACCTCAATGTCATCATTACAAAAACAAGCTGGGAATGCTGACATTTTAGAGTTACTGTGAAAGATGAGTGGGTCAACCCTGGTAAAAGACCACCTAGGACAGACAGATCTTTGTGAGTTTGAGGCTAGCCTGGTCTACAGAGCTAGGTCCAAGACAGCCAAGACTACACAAAGAAACCTTGTCTCAAAAATCAGATTAAAAAAAAAAAAAAAAGACCTAGGTCTGTGACAAGCGAAAGGACCTGATGTCAGTATGTGGCACCTGCTAGGATTCCAGTTCCCCCAGGTCTGAACCCGCAGCTCCAACACCTACAACAGCAGTAGGTAGACTAAATATTCACTACCACATCTGGGTGCCAAACCAGAGGGCTGAGTCTGTATTGAGGCCCAGCACATTCATCTAACTATTGCTTCAGCCATGTATTATGTAGTATTTAAATTATTGCTCCCTCAGAGCAAGAGATGGCTTTCACTGGCCCTCATTTGAAGTCAGCCTCTATAGCTCCACTGGTGAATTCAATGATGTCACAAAGGATTATTTATACATACCAACAGGCTGGGCATGGTGACTCACATCTTTAATCTTTGGGAAACAGAGGAGGGCAGATCTGATTTTGAGGCCAGTCTGGTCTACATAGTGAGTTCTGGGCAGCCAAGGTTACATAGTGAGTGAGACCCTGTCTCAAAAAGGGGAGGTAGTGTGGTGGCACATGCCTTTAATCCCAGTACTTAGGAGGCAGAGACAGGCAGATCTGCCTAGATCTCTGAGTTCAAAGCTGACCTGGTCTACAGAGTGAGCTTTAGGACATCCAGGGCTATACATAGAAACTGTTTCCAAAAGAAAAAAAAAAAAAAAACTTAGTCCATAAGGACCTGATTATATTCACACAACCCATGCCCATGTAAAAAGAAGTTGAGTGTGAGCTGGAGTGGTGGCTAAGAGCACTTGTTGCTCTTGCACAAGGCCCAGATTTGGTTACCAATACATACGTGGTGGCTCACAACCATATGTAACTCCAGTCCCAAGGGACCCAACACGTTCTAACTTCCTTGTATGCACCAGGCATGTATGCACATAGTGTACATACATACATACAGGCAAAACATTCATACATACACTAAGACAAATAAGCTGGGCAGTGGTGGTGACAGGACGGTGGTGGTGGCAGGACAGTGGTAATCCCAGCACTCAGGAAGCAGAGGCAGGTCTCTGTGAGTTTCAGGATTGCCAGAGCTACACAGAGAAACCTTGTCTGGAGAAACTAAAACAAACAACAGTAACAAAAACAAATCTTTTTTTTTTTTTTTTTTGGTTTTTTTCAAGACAGGGTTTCTCTGTGTAGCCCTGGCTGTCCTAGAACTCACTCTGTAGACCAGGCTAGCTTCAAACTCTCAAACTCAGAAATCCACCTGCCTCTGCCTAAAACAAATAAATCTTAAACACCTGCAATCCAACTATATACTGTGAGTATGCATGCATGTGTGTACATATGGAGATCAGAGGACAACTTACAGGAAACTGTTTTCTCCTCCTAAGGTGTTGGTGACAAGCCCATACCCACTAAGCCATCTCACCAGTCAAAGACTCTATCTTTTAAATGAAGGAGCTAAAGA